GCATGTTCGTATAAAATGTACATCTTCAAGAGGAACTCAAGGTTAACCCCGTGAGAAAATGCCGGCGTGTCCCATATGTAAATCATTCATATTTCCACTTTAAAATACGGTGTCACACAATATACCATCTTACATTATAAATAGGGAGAATAATATTTTTCGTCCCTGAACTTTATTGATAGTGTAGAAATGGTCCTTCAACATTAAAACCAGAAAAAACTAATCCTTCAACTATTAAAACCGGATATTTTTCATCCCTCAAACCACTCTGAGTGGTTTTGGGCTGACGTGGACCTGATATTGACTATTGACCTCACCACATCAGCACCACACCAGACACATGGGTGCAAATCTCCCACTCGACATGGGTCAGCGTGTCCGATCGAAGAGCTGGTCTTTATGGGCTTCTGGCGGTAGCACGATAGCCGCGAGACATGGCCATCCAACAAACTGGACATTGCCGACCTCGCCGACAGCGTGGACATGGTGGTGACATACTGACCGCCATGCATGTGCTGGTGCAAGAGGAAGATGACGAAGGGTGAGTCGGTGGGGTCAACGGTCAATACCGGGTTCAGATCAGCACCAAACCACCCAGAGTGGCACAAGGGACGAAAAATATCCGATATCCGATTTTGAGAGTTGAGGGACTATGTTTGTCTAGTTGTATAATTGAAGGACCATTTCTAAGCTGTGGGTAAAGTTGGGGGATACAAAATATACTTCTCCCTTATAAATATATCAATCAAAAAATCGGTTGAACCTTGGTACACTTTTGGTTTACTTTTAAAGGGGTACTTTCATACTTTGTACAAATCAAATGAGTTGCATAATCATGCCTAACAACTTCACTGAGTTATATCTGCCAACCGTGCGAGATCTCAAGCTAAAAAGAACTCCCCTTGACCCAAACGATTTTACTGTATGAATATATTCCTTTGTGCCTAGGAAACAAAATACTTCAGGAGCTATCATGGTGATACTCCCAGGCTGGTGCTCGCATGCATGGATGTTCAAATAACATGGGCATGGATAAAGAAGTGATTTTGCTATATTACCAGCAGAACACTGGTTTAAGTCCTATACTTCGCATTGGTGCTCGTATTTTATAAGAATTATTCCAGGTTTCCCGACAAAGCTCGTTCATTGGGACATGGCGTTCTCTTCGACTAGATGTCTGTGGTGACTTGTCAATCCCAAAATTTGTCGGATCAGTCGCTAGGAGGTGCTCATAGAGGTATGGCGTGCATGCATGCATTCATCGAGATGTTTGTTCGTGAGTGTGTGTGTAAGTGTTTACATTTGTGAGGTGTTATGTTATATTACCCTCTTAAACTAAATGGTAAACTTTAGTCTTCACCGTTACTTTTTCCCAATGGTGGTAAACATTTCAAAGAATGGTATAATGAAGCACTCCTCCATTTTCAATCCAATTGTTCATCATAAATTGTTTTGGCATTTCTGTGTTTTATGACTGAGTTATCTCATGTATATTGTTGTTTAATATAAACAACTAAACTACATATTCGTATCTCTGTAAGTGGTGATAAATAGTGCTTTTAAATAGGCATATATTTAGAGAACGGTTAGCATCTAATTAATATATGCCATAGATATGAAATTATGATGCTATTACTTACCGGGGTCTCTGGCAGTTCCCCGGACACGGTAGCCATGGAGGAGGAGCGCCTTCACCACCCATGAACCAATGAAGCCTCCTGCCCCAGTCACACAAACTAGCTCATGATGTTTCTCACCCTTGTCGTTGGCCTGCTTCTCCGAATAGGAAGCCATGGCGACCCCCTATGTCGCAAATCTTTTAGTTAACCCTTCAACAATTTTCTAACTACACAGTTATGGGTATTAGAGCACATCACATGCTAGATTGCTATATATAGAACAATCAGCTCGCCCAGTCAATTTTGAGTTAGTGGACGAAAAGGACAGTTAGGTAGAACCTACAGCAGAATGACTATGCCTCGATTACTACGTATGCCTCGATTTCCACATGGGAGGTAAGTGAGAGGTAAGAGTATAAAATAGATCTGAACCGTTGATTAACTCTTATCTTCTTACCTCTCATATGAAAAGAGAGGGTAAGAGGGAGAATGTTAAAATTGCTCGACAACTAAAAATTCCAATTAAATCGAGGGATTTTGTTCAGTAAATGAAATTGGCACACCAATCAAAAGTGTTGCTTTTGTAATGACGATGAAACAATTAAGTGTCTATTTTAATTGTAATCTTATTATAGTCATGCAACGTATTTTTCCATGTAAGGTAGCTTTCTTGAGGCGTTACCAATATGTGTAGCAACTGCTTTTTGTTGGTCATTTTGGCTTTGTAGAATTAATATCTTCTCTTGTGCAGGTTATGTACTCGTTTACAGTGTGGTATTCTACCTGGGTGCATGTTTGATGCAGGTGTAGTACTGTGTAGCTGGAGGTGATTGTAATGGGATTTGTTTGGCGAGAACACATGGTAGCCTAACCTTCATATCACGTACAACCAGCCGCGAAGCCAGCCTCAAGAATTTGTGGGGTTACTGGTATTTTTCTTTTGATAATTTCTTCATGATAGACAGTAAATATACCGTGTTTTTAGGCAGTTTTTCACAAAAGCTGTGGGGTCAGAAGTATACTAGAAAGATTTTAAAGTAGTTTAAAGTTTAAATATATGAAGTGTTTTTAGATTGATAATATCTGATGATGACATGGTTGGAGGGTGAAAAAAATTAGTTGGAATTTGGATTTTCTTTTTGTTTGTGAAAATGCGTAATTAGTTAAATAGTTGAAAGGCAAATTAATTTAATTCAAAGTTGGAACTCTTCCCCCCCTGTTCGCAACCTTCCAGCTTCACGGATCGGCTCTGGATATTTGCGGCACACACGGGCAAGGGCGCTGACCCATGTCAAAGGGGAGGTAAGAGGGAGCATGCTAATCTTTTTTCCGCTTTCGTTTCGATTTTTAATCTTTTATATCTTTTGAACCAAAAGTCCAAATTAAGTTTCATTGCATATTCGTGATTTTTTTTGATGAGGGATTTCAAATAAGATCCATTATGAATACGTTTTGATGAGTTTTTAAAACTTCATTACGTTTCAACCGCTGAAACTTGGTACAAGCGAACGCCAAAATCGCATGTTTCAGAAACTAAAACTTAAAATTTGGTGCGCCATCGTGCGAAATTCAATGACTTTGTGGATCACGATACAATCTGACAGCCGGCAAGGTCGGGCAGCCCTTGCACCTGCGTATCGGCGAGTTTCTAGGGAGTTCGAGAGAAGAAATCAAGCGGGCATTTTCCCCCAAAGAAAATGGACTTAAAATAAAAGGTAGAGTCCGGGAGAGAAGATACACGAAAGCAGACGTACTTTCTTTTTTAAAGTCTTCTACACATCTAATATGTACAAACGGATTGTTCATTCTAGCACGCTAGATGACCATCAATTCTAGATGGACAAGTGCAACCATAATCAAACGTACGACTAGGACATATACTTTGTAGTTAGAATTCCTTCACACATATAAGATATCCAAACTATTCAAACACAAACACGTCATCGTGTACCTCCAACGCCGAGCGTGGTACACAAGACACGTTGGAGGAGGAGCCTCATCGTCCGCCCATCCCTCACGGCCAGATAACTAACTCCAGATTTGTCATCAAGCATTGCGGCCATCGACGCCCTCATTTCACGCGGTCGCGTCCTCCCATTGTCGATAGCCACCGGTGAGCCTTGTTGTCGTCATGTCTCCCCTTCACGTCTTTTAAACCTTACCATCGGCCCCACCTGTCATCGGCTTATGCCACAGGTTGAAGCGGTACAAGTGAAAGTGCCTCCAGGAAATACGCCTTCAAAGTTAGCCGTTCTGTAAATTTCTTTTAAAATCAATTAAATCATTGTTTTGACCAAACGTGGACATGTTCTAACGCTTGTTGCAATTTTGTGATGTACCTAGGTAGGCTGGGTAGTCACAATGGCTTTATGGAGATTTTCCTAAATTCTTTATTTGATTTTTGTAGCAGCTTTTCCTTCAGTGTTGAAGATGTAGACGGTCTTGGCACTCCATTTTATCAAGGCAAGCCACCACTTGTAGGGTTGGATGACTTGATAAACCTATGGTTTTCAATATGCATTTTTTTACTATTTTGCATTATTACAATGCTTTTATTAGTACTTATTGTTTCTAGGCTCATGTTGATATGGTTCCATCAAGGCATTGCATGTATACCTCATGAACACTAGAATACATGTCTAATCATGCTAAGCTAACAAATGGCAATGCTCATGGTTGCATACAAAATATGACATGGATAATGTTGCAAATAAATATGGCTATCACTTGGATCAACACATAATTAGTGGATGAAATGAAGGTAAGATTATAACAAGTATAAACTTGCTAATCAAGACAAGAGGTTGGATAATATTGCAACCAATCGTTGTAACCCCGCTCCATCCCCTTGTTGACCTCGTTCTACCAAGCGAGGGAGAGGGTATGATTGCCAGATGTGGGTTTCTCTATATACTTTGACCCCCAGATTTCCACTTGAACATAAATAAACTTTTTTAATGGGACCCTTCATTAGTTTGGTCGAGCCATGGTGCCACCGAACCGAACTCATCATAGTGTGACCACATTTGTCTTATTTTGGGAAGGCCGTAGCTTGCTCTATTCACGCGCCTCTTATTTGTATCACCATAATTGGGATATGGTGTTTGGTTGGGCCTTTTCATGCCTTTTTCTCTTAAGCTTAAAGCCAAAAAAAGCTCCTATCTAGGGGACAAGGATCATAAACATGATCATTTGGTAAGTTGCAATGACCGGGCGGTCAAGATGTTAAGGTTACATAAAGCTAAGTGGTAAGTTGCATGAGATCATGGTAGTAACATAAACCCTGACTAATCAATACAAGTGGTCAAATAAAATTACAACCAACCTCCGTAACACTTCTCTATGTCCAATTGTCCATGCCGACCTCGTTATACCAAACGAGGGAGCGTGCCTCGTTGCTAGAAGTTGGTTGTTCTATATACTTTGACTCCTACTTGCCGCTTGAACATAAAGCACATATGAACTTGATGGATCTTTGCTCGGGAAGTGCGTGGATGAACCCGGGTACATATGAACCCACTTTAAAAAACACATTTTTACATGCTAAAAGAATCTGAAATTTTTTGCACGGGTACGTCTCCATGTTCTATGTACATGCATAAAATTTCACAGAAAAATAACCTTTTTTGTGGCCCGTGCAAAAACAGACGAAAAATTGTGTCATCAAATGCTATTTAGAAGCACTAAAATTTGTCTTTTTGCAAAGCAAACCAAAAAATATTTTTTTTCACAAAACTTTATGCCACGCACATACATTTGCGAAAATGTATGCATGATTTTTTTTATATTTTTTGACATTTTAAAACACACTTAAAATGCTTTTTTTAAGTCGGTGCAGATGCCCGTGCGTTTAGGACGTGCCCACTCATCTTTGCTCACCTTTCTTTCACGTTGGCACAACTCCCATGCTTCGAGCTGCTTCCAATCATCTTAGATAGCTGCTTTCATTCATTTTTACCAGAAGTATTGCCGATGCGAAACAAAAAAAATTAATTAACATGGCGTTACGTGCAAAAAAGGGTTATAAGTACACATATTAATAATTATTTTAAAAAATACCACACACATAACTCAAAATAAGGGGACTTATTTTCCAAAGAAAGATAGAGAAATAGGTTGTGAACAACAAATTGCATGCATTGATGCAAGTCGGATTGATGAGGTAATTAAGATAAGATGGCGTAAATGATTGAGTTATTTAAAAATATATTATTTGTCTAAACCAATTGGATGAAGAACTATGTAGGTAAATGAGTGATTTCTAGACTTAACTCCAAATCATCACGTTCTTTCCAAACGATTAAGTTTCGTCCTCCTCCCATCGGTGTTGCCGCTAGTCTGCCTCGCCTCTGATAGCCTTTGGGCCGTAGCGGTTTAGAGGACCTTGCCCTCACCGGCGGAATGGACATCACTCTCATTCTTGTTAGGGTCAACTTCTTTGGTTGGGGCTGTGTGGCGGCGACGATTCGTTCATTCGTTTGTATGTTTACAGGTTTGACCATTCCAGTCTACGACTCCCTTCATCAACGACGGTTGCTGCTCTGGTGCGCTGGTCCTATAGGGCTTTAACATGGCAACTTTTTGACTGCCTACTAGCTACAACAAGGTTTGCGTCACTCAAGTGTGGGAAGGGCGATGACGGCGCTACACCTTCATGGACCTTGATACGTCTCCAACATATCTATAATTTTTGATTATTCCATGCTATTATATTATCTGTTTTGGATGTTTATGGGCTTTATTATACACTTTTATATTATTTTTGGGACTAACCTATTAACCCAGAGCCTAGTGCCAGTTTCTGTTTTTTCCTTGTTTTGAAGTATCGCAGAAAAGGAAAATCAAATGGAGTCCAATTGACCTGAAACTTAACGGAACTTATTTTTGGACCAGAAGAAGCCCACGGAGTATCGGAGATGGACCAGGAGAGTCCCGGGCTGCCCACGAGGGTGGGGCGCACCCACCCCCTGGGCACGCCCCCTGCCTCGTGGACAGCCCAGAGTTCCACCGACGTACTTTTTCCACCCATATATACCCATATACCCTAAAAACTTCGGGGAGCACAATAAATCGGGAGTTCCGCCGCCAGAAGCCTCCGTAGCCACCGAAAACTAATCTAGACTCGTTCCGGCACCCTGCCGGAGGGGGAATCCTTCTCTGGTGGCCATCTTCATC